TTTGATGCAGGGTCTTACCCCATATAGCTCAGCGTAATGTTGGACTTACTATGTAGCTCAGACTGACCTTGAACTTGGAGTTCTCTTGCCTTGATCTCTAGAATTCTAGGATTACTGTCGGGTACTATTGGAGGATATTTCATAAGAATGTTAATGCCTTTAGTATGTACTATAATTTTTTACAAAGTATAATACACACTATAATAACAGATTGTGGTGGTATTACTTTTTCTTAGAAAGGTTCACCCCTTGTAATTGAATACTGAACACTTGAGGGTTAAATGAGAGTTTAGATTGAAATCTTTGAAATGTGTTCTCAGATGTTAGCATAACTATGTACTTCTGCATTTTAAAAGGTTTTAAAGATCGAAGGAACAATAGTAATATTGAAACTTTAATGTCCACAAATAGTGTTAACTCTTTCCAAAATTTATGACTATTTCTTTTTGTATTACAGTGACAGAGCTGAGTAATTGTGACAGAGACCATACAGTATAATTTTCGTTACATTATACTGCTCTTAGATTATAGTATTTAGTGATACAGTTATAATGTGACAGTCTGCTGAGTGACATGGCTCTTGTTGGTTTCTGTTACTTGTTTTCTTTGTTACTAGTTCATGTCCATCAAAAAAAGAGAAAATGGACTTTGAGTGATGCGTGTGCACATACAAATCCCTGTGGCACATACATGCTGGAGCTGAAATCCAAATATTGTACATGCCCTGGATCTATACCCTTGGCCCTTGAATGGAATTTTGATTACTTTGTTGAATTAAATAACAAACAAAAAGATTGTTTTTATTATTGAGATAGAAGTATATATGTTGACATTACCAGAGTAAAAACATACTGCTGAATTCCCAACTTTTGGGATTATAATTGGAAATTTTGAAATGTATCTCATCATGGTATAATTTCTCCCTAAATGAAAAAAAATACAAAGTTACCATCAAAACAAACTTCCAATGGACTCATTTGCTACCTAAGTGTAGTCATTTACTGATGTTGAGTTAATTAAATTGTTGGATCATAGAAGTCAAAAAAGTTACGTCCAGAGACTTGTTTAAAACTCTTAGCTTTTTGGCAAGAATAATTGACTTTAACACTTAAGGACATCTGGGGTAGCTTTGATAGTCAATTAAAAACAAGGCACACGGCTTATAGCGGTTCTGGCTCTGGAGGAGTTGACAGATGTTTTTGGTGCTACTCAGTTGTTATTTACTGGAGAACTCACTGAGAAGTTTAAAGTGGCAGAAAAATTAACCTTGTGAATGTTGTTTGTGGAACAGTTACAGACAAGTATTTTCAAAGTTGAGGAACACCTAAGTACAAACGGAAGTGGAACTCATTAAGCTTTGCTAGGGTGGTGATAAGTGTATGTGCAACACATAAAAGTTGTGCAGATTCTCAAAACTGATAAACAAATGTCAGTTGTTCAAAGCCTATGGTTGTTAATGTGTTATTCATCAGCAAGTCATTTGCAGAGACTAGTTGAAGCACTCTTGTGAATGCCATTCACTCTCATGGAGTTAAGATACCATTGCTTCCACAGACATTTGTTAAGAACAACAGCTGAGTATCCTGACTAGCTTAGTGTTGGTAAAGTATTTTGTTTGTCTTTACAGTTGTTTAAAGGCCATGATTGAAAATTTTATGATCAAAGAGGACCAACTATTATCAGTTACTGTTACCAAATACTATTTACTTTTGGGAATTATTTTTTCTTCAGATTCACAGGCTTTTAAAAAAAATGAATATAATAAAGCTAGAAGATAAAATAATGTGCACATGCCAGGCATGGTGGCACATGCCTTTAATTCCAGCATTCAAGAGGCAGAGGCTGGTGGATCTCTTGAGTTCGAGGCCAGCCTGGTCTACAGAGTAAATTCCAGGACAGATAAAGCTACATAGAAAAACGCTGTTTCAAAAAACAAACAAACAAACAAAAAACAAAAATAAGATAAATAAAAAAATAAAAATAGAATGCATATGTAGTGATGTTGCACCCTCTTGTACACCTGCATGCCATTAAGAAGGCAGACATTCAGTCCTGCACACACGCATGAGTATAGTTCTTAGCTCTACCTGTAGTTTCAGGGGCATTTTTCAGATAGTGTAGCAAGCTCAAAGGAAACTCCCATGTTTTAGAATCTCCTTAGTTATACAACTGAAGAGCTTCTACTGACCTTTTGGTTGATTCTGTACTGTAGTGACACATTGCAAAGCAAACTTTTTAAAGAACTACCTAGTAGAATGCTACACCTGTTTTCCAAGTAATGAATGTCTTCAAGTAAAATCACATGATGGGTTTGGTATCAGTAGTGAGCTGTACACATGTCAGTATATCAGGGTCAGGAGCACTGGCCGCTCTTTGCCGAGAACCTGGTTTCAGTTCCCAGAACCTACATGATAATTCAGATACAAGTGTAACTCCACTTTCTGGAGATATGAGACCCTCTTCTGAACTCCATAGGTACCTGCTTGTATGTGTTCTCAGTGCACACATAAAGTAAAAATAAATAAGGTCTATGGATGTAATTAATAACGAAAATGTAAAACCCTAAGTGAAGCTCTTGGTCTTCACAACGGCCATCCTAACTACAGAAGCTTATTGTTGCTAGTGTAGATAGGGGCTGGATGAGTAGTTGAGTGGACTAATCTAGTTGGATCACATTTTTATTCATGAGTTCATTACAACAACAAAGTAATTTTTAGATGGAAAGCTTAAACCACAGAGCCTCATTTCAGATGTGTATTTATGAATGACTGTAGATGAGATGTTAGGAATAGGAAACCCTAGCAAATGATAAGTGAGGCAGTCCGTCCCCCAGAGAAGCCATTCCTTTTATCAGCAGGCTTGTACTATAAGATACCTTGCTCAATGACTGTTACTTGAGTTTTGACCATGAAGTCTGTGGAAACCTTTTCTCTTCTTATGTAAATGTACCCAAGATTTTCCTTCTGGCCAACAGAAATCGAAATACTTAAGATCCCTCTCCCCCCTTCCCTCCCTCCCCCCCCCTCGTTAAAAAAAAGTTGACAACTTTTTGACAGCAGAGCTTCTCAGGTACAGAGTGCTTACAGGACCTTATGAAAATGCAGGATTGGTCTGAGCTGCAGAGGGACCTGGGAGTTTGTATTGATTGAATGCTCTTAGCTGATAAGGTTTTGAGTTAGCTAACAAATTTCTAGTGCTGTAGGTAAGATTTTTTCAGGCACTGCCAGTGTATTCTTAAATCACCTTTTCTGTGCCTGGACCTATTCTAGGGGCACTCACATATATTCCTTCCTTAAAAAGTCTTTGAAAGTGTTAGAAATGTTGAAATGAGGCATTTTTTTAGTTTAATGCTCCCCCTTCAGATGGATATAAAGGAAAGATTATGTCCTAGAAGAAACTATATATATATGCAAGATTAGCAGGAAGTAAAATAACCTTGTTATTGCTGTCTGGTCCTGGACAAAGTAGGAGTGTTGTCTCTATCTTCCTAAGTGCCCGGTGAATTATCAACACCAGTTGTCAGACCAAAAGAGAGGTATGGAACACTCAGATTGCTTTAGAAACATTTTCTCCTAGTCTTTTGCTTCCCTTGTCATTTGAAATGTCTTTTGCACTAGTCTTTAAACTTTTGATGAAATCCAATTCATTAATTTTTAAAAATTAAAATATAAAATATAAATTTCTCCCTTTTTTCAAGGCACCGAGCATTGCCCCTAAGGCCCCATGTATACTAGGAAGAGTGTTCCTTATAGTTCACCTAGATTCACAGTTAATGTGTTCTTCCCACCCCTTAATGCCTTAGAACAGAGTTGACATTGCATAGGCCTCTTCTTTTTTCTTATGTTTTTGAGATGAGGTATGTAACTATAATATTCTCCAAATGTAATAGTTGTCTTGGAGGCTTACTGCTGAGTAAGTTCATTCACTCTTTCTCTTTCTGAACTCTGGCTGGCTGGTTCAACTCAGCTGTTCTGGCCCAAACTCCTCTCCATACTGACTGATTCAAACTGGCTTTTCTCTGTTTCTGACTGAATTACTCTGCCTGGTCTCTAATTTGATGCAGTCTATTCCAATCTTCTGAGCTTTTTTTTCCCCCCTTCTATTCTCTGGCTCATTCTGCCTTTACCTGCAACCTGTCTCTGTAAATCTCTGTTAAAACTTTCTCCTCTCCCCTCAACCCTTTCCTGCTGCTCTCTGAAGCTGCCTCTCTTTCCTGTGCTGTTCTAATGAGAGTTGGGTGTATCCTATCTCTGATTCATTCTGTCAGATCTTTCTCTGATTTGTCACTTTGTCTGCCCCTCAATTAGATGTCACTTTCAAACATGCTGCTTCCTTCTACAAACTAACTTTACCTTCATTGCTTGGGAATAAAGGTGTGTACTAAGGGCGTGTCTGTTTCAGCCAGAGGGGATTAAAGGTGTGTACTAAGGACATGTCTGTATTCCAGCTAGATCACATAGACCTAGAAGGTCTTTGGATGTGATCCCTTGCCAGAACAGCCATGCTGCTGGATTAAAATTCCTCTACATGTAAGTAACTCATGCTAGCTAGAGCTCTTTGTGTAGCCTGGGCTAGCCCTGAATTCAGAATCTTTCTGCCTCAGCCTCCTTAATGTTAGGTTTGAAAGTATGTGCTACAACACCTGGCTTGTATAGGACTTCTATTAGTTCTACAGCCAAGTGTTTTGTCGAACATCTTGTATGTATGTATGTATGTATGTATGTATGTATGTATGTGTGTGTGTGTTACTGTGCATGCTTGCTTGTATGTGTGCGTACTGAACTGAGTGTACCTTGGGCTGTGGTCAAAAGTATAAATCTACTATGTTATGCTAAATGCGGTGTACATTTAAAAAGTTATAGTTTCTTAATCTGTTTAGGGTGTTCCTTTATAAATTTTGTATTATAGTTTCACTATACGTAATATAGACATATGTATATGTGTGCACATACACATATGTGTGTGTTTGTTTTTGTTTTTGTTTTTTTCTCTCGTAATAGGTGCAATGGATGAGCTTCACAGTCTGGATCCAAGAAGGCAAGAATTATTGGAAGCGAGATTTACTGGAGTTGCTACTGGGAGCACTGGGAGTACTGGGAGTTGCAGTGTTGGAGCGAAAGTGAGTACAATTTTAATCTCATTTCAAGTCCTTTCTTTGTGCTAAGTGGTCTAGAACATATTTGGTAGGGCTGTTGAGATGGCTTGACCACCAGAGTTCAAGCCCCAGGACTCATGTTGGAAGGAGAGAACCAAGTCTTACAAATTGTCCATTGACCATCATATAATGTGTGCATCTATCCCCTCAATATGTAACACTAAAACACAAAGTATCTTTTGTGCAGGAGCCTGCCCTATACACATGCTTACTGGAAACTATTACTTTTTATGATTTTTATATTGTGTAGAAGTAAGTATTTAGAAACCTGATTTCTTTTTATTTGCTCTGCAGAAGATCTCTATATTAACACAGTTGTGTTTGGCAATTCTTACTCTTATTTCTTGACCAAAAGGCCCTTGCCTATGCCTGTACTTAGGGAAGGAAGTGTGCCCTGGTTTACCTGTAGCAGTCTCTGAGTGTGAGGCCTTACATAGAACTCTTTGCTCTGTTTTGAAGTGAGTTTTGGACAGAGAGAGAGAGGAACCTAGTTCCCCATCAAGTTTGAATAGATGTCTTTCTCTCTAACATGAATTTTTAGCACCTTTGTTGAAGATCACTTGGCTGGACCCCTGTGGGTTTCTGTGTTTTCTGTTGTGTTGATCTGTGTGTATTAGTCTTAGTAGCTTGCTGTATCTATTATAAGTCTGTGGTATATATTCGGAATCAGATACCGTGATACCTCTAGCCTTGCTCTCTTGTCCCCACCCCCCAACCCCCAGGGTGTCTTTGGCTACTTGATGTCATTAATATTTTCATATGAGTTGTAGCATTTCTTTTTCTGTTTGTGTGAAGAATGTACTTGGTTGGCTTTTGATGGAGGATTGTGTTCAATCTATAGATTGTGTTTGGTAATATGCATTTTTACAGTATTATACTAGTCCTTGGGCTCTATCTTGTAGTGACTCCAATTTGTCTATAATGTTTTAAGGTTTTCATTGTAATTTTTTTCATTTCCTTGGTTAAGTATCTGTCTATCATTTATCTATGTATCTCTCGATCTGCATGCACACACACATTTTTTAATCTTACACTGTGCTATCCCATCATGAATTTCCTTCTCAGTATTTGTTGTTGGTATATAGGAAAGCGACTGGTTTTTGTATGTAGAACATGTATCCTAATACTTTGCTCAAAGTCTGTCAAATCTAAGAGCTTTCTGGAGGCTTTAAGAGTCCCTTTAAGAATGGAAACATATTATCTGTAAAAAGTGGTGATTAAAGTGAGTTCCTTTCCTATCATGGCCCCTTTGTTTCTTGTTCTTGTCTAACTACTGGCTAATAATTCAAGTATCATAGTAAATGGGAGTGAAGTAGTGAGAACCTGACTTGTTACTGATTTAAGAGGAAAGACTTAGTTTTTTCTCCTTCGCTGTAATGTATTGTCATCAGCCTTTATAATGTTGCAGTTTGATCCCCCTTGCTGTTAGTTTCTTCAGCGTTGGTCATGAAAGGATGTTGAACTTTGTCCAAAGACCTTTTCAACATCTGTTGAGACAGCTGTGATTTCTGTCCCTGTATCTTTTCAGATGCTGCTTTACATCTTCTGATTAGTGTGTGTTGAATCTTCCTTTATCCTTCTCGGGGTAATTTTGTGTTTCTTACTTTGAGAAACTGCCAAATTGTTTTCCCCTCAATTGTTCTTTATTCCCTCAGCAGTGTACAGGAAATATAGTTTCTCCCACCTTGTGAGGATTTCGTTACTATCTCTTCTAGTACAGCATCTCTGTTGGTATATAAAGCAATACTATCAGTGTTCTCATTTACATTTCCCTGTTGACCAGTGATGCCGAACTTTTCCCCTGTACCTACTGACCATTGATATATCTTCTCTGATGCGGTATCTAGTCAAATCCTTTGCCTGTTTTTAAGTCTGGTTGCTTTTAAATCTTGAGTTTTTATGTGTGATGGATGGGCAATAGACCTTTATGATAAATGATTTACAGAGGTTTCTCTTATTCTTTGAGTATTGTGTCTGAGAAACTTGCATAGTTATGTCACATAATGTATACTTTTTTCTTTCTGAGACATTGTTGAGGAGTGAATGTATTATGTCCCTTACAGGCCCATGTGCTGAACACTTGGTACCAGCTGGTGGCGCTATTTGGGAGATTGAGGAGATGAGATTTACTTAGCTAGAGGAATGAGGTACTAGAAAGAGTTACCAGTTCCTCTGCCCCTTTCCGTCTCTGCTTTCCTCTGTCTCTTCATGGTCCCTCTGTGATGCTATCGCCAAATGCATGGGGCCACACCAAGTAATTCTTCCCTTGAAGGTGTTTTCCCTGGTCATAAAATGAACCCAGAAAGATGTTTATAGTTTTAGTCCCTGCATTCAGGTCTTGGGTAATTTTAAACACACACACACACACACACACACACACACACACACACACACGCTCTCAGCGTATGTACCTGTGCTTATCTGGTTGTTTATTCATGGGTCATAAATGTGTGGGTTTGTTTCTCTACACTTCTTTCTGATCTATACTTTTGTCCTCAAAACAAGACCACACTTCAGTGTAGTTAGTGATACATTTTAAAACTGGAAGTGTGCTATTGCCAACTCAATTCTTGTTTTAAATTATTTTGTCTATCCTGAGTCTCTTTATTTCAGTCTGACTTTTAGAACCAGTAGGTCGCCTTCTAAAATAAAAACAAACAAACAGAAACAACTGGAGTTTTAGTAGGAGTCTCTAGTAAATGTTTAGGTTTGTATAAGTATTGGAACCTTAGTAAGTTGTCTAGTCTATGGCACAAATATCTTTACATCTGTTTAGTCTTTTTTCTTTTAATGATGTTTTTTAGCTTTTGGTATAACTCATTTGTTTGAGCTTCCGAGTTTTTCTTTCACTGTCACAGTAGTATAAAGGCATTGAATCTTGTTTTGTTTTTTCTTTTAATGGAATTGTCCGCTTCACTCATTTCAGGTGTTCATTGCTGTTGAATTTTGTACATGGCTCTTATGTCCTACAGCCTAGTTGAACTTACTTATTACTAATTAGCTCTGCTAGTTTTACTAAAAGTGATAAGTTTTTGGAGTTACTCAGTGTTCTGTGTACATGATTCTGTAGGGAGAAGAGCAGCTCATGTCAGTTGTCAAATCTCCTTCCTGGGATTGACATTCTTTACCATAGGTTTGATCAAAAGAACAGGCTAAGATTCCATTTCCTTGTTGGTTGTGCGGTGAGTCACTTTTATAGCCCAGTGTCGTTCTGCTCCTGTTTTCTTGATTAAGCACTGCATCTGTTACCTCTACCCCACAGCCTCTTAAGGAACAGGGAAGGAGTGAGCTGTGTCACACCATCACAGCTGCTGCTTTATTTTACTGTTGAGTTATCTCCACAGGCGTAGAGAGTGTGGAATGTGTACACTTAGGATGTCATTTTCCTAGTTTGGTGTGTTTTCTGGAAGGCACATACAGTCTTTAGAAACTCTTCAATGGTCTCACATAGTTCCCAAGCTTTGATTGCTGCCTTTTCTTGTGGCCCAATTTTATGCTTCTCCTTCCATTTTTCATCATACTCACTTTTCTCTAGTCTAACAAGCTGGTTTCTTAAGCAGGCAGGTTTCCTGTCTTTTCTTTTAAACATGCAGTTGACTTTGTTTTATGCCGGTGATCCTTCTGTCATCAGACTGAGGCAGTGCTGTTTGAGATGAGGCAGCATTGAGACTGTTTCTCTGACTATGTGATTGCCCAAATACAGATTTGGTGTACCTGAGCATGCTTTATTACATCACATTTCAATTATTTTCTACTAGACTACTAAAATGTTAAGGACCAAAAGACTTGCATATTTAATTTGAGGGATGAAATAACTTTAACAGTTCAGAACAGCGTTGTAGATGGCTCAGTGGTTAAAAGCACTGACTGTTTCCAAAGGGCCTGGGTTTGATTCCTAGCATACACATAGTGGCTCGTAACAGTCTGTAATTCCAGTACTAGGGGCTCTGATGCCCTCTTCTGTCTTCTGTGGGCAGGCATGCAAGTGATGCATAGACATATATGCAGGCAAAACACACCTACATATTAAATAGAAAATAAAAATAATTTTTTAAACTTAAAAAAATAGAAATGAAAATAGTATCCCTGATTCTAATCTGGTTTAGGAAAAAGTATTAGGGTAGTTTTGTTTTGTGGTTTTCTTTTTCTTCCCTTGTATTGAACGTTAAAGCTAGGGCCTTGTACATGCTAGACAAGCACTCTGCCCTCGAACTCTATGCACAGGCCAAAAAAATTGTTTTGAGACTTGAATCTATCCTAGAAAGTATTAAGGAAAATATTTGAATTGCATCTGGAGTTAGCACAGAATCATACAACCTTCTAAACCTGCTCATGTATTCTATTCCCGGTGGCCAGAGCTAGCAAGGTGTCTGGAAATGAAAATAGTGCCAGTTTTTGATTTACTAATAATATTATTTACCTCCAAGCTGATGATATCAGATGAGAATAAAAGCCAAAGTTGTTTATTTCATATGTGTATGTGCATAGGGAATCCAGGGTCTTTCCCATGGTAGGCAAGCTATCTACATTCAAGCTGTCTCCCAGCGTTCTCAGCATACATTTTAAAGGACTCCATGTGTAAGGTTTCATTTAATATTCCTGGTTTGCAGACAGAATTATATACCTGCCGCAAATATCTTATAGTCATTCTAATAATAGAACAGAATAGGCATAGCTGTGAACTTGTATGTAGGCATACTTAGTTTTGCACATTTATCATGTAGTTCATGGGAGTTAATAGGATTGTCAGAATATTTTGTAAATTAAGCCCTCATTTCAAAAAAATCTGTTAAAATATGAAATGTTCTAACTAAATTCTTTAGCCTGATGGATACTTTTTCCTTCCCTTCCCTCCTCTTCCCTCCTCTTCCCTTCCCTTCCCTCCCCTCCTCTCCCCTCCCCTCCCCTCAGATGAGAATAAAAGCCAAAGTTGTTTATTTCATGTGTATAAGGAATCCCCTCCC